GTCCTGTCTTCTACAGCCTTGTGTCCCTAGGCAGGACAGGGAGGGAACCACCCACCTGCCTCCTTCGCAGTCCTCATGCCTTGTGGCCACAAAGGGCTCACAGTATCAGCATGAGAAGGAGAGCACGTGTGAGTGACCAGGTTGGACACTATCAGTAGCCATGAAAGTTTTGCCTGGGGCAGACACGCCAGGTGACTAGGGATAGGGACTCGTGAGGCAGTGACAGCCCCGCCCAAAACTCCCACCTCTAACACCTGGCTATCCATCTATTTCCCTGTGTGAGGGAGGAGGGGAAGAGAAAAGTCAGAGCCACTGCCCTCGGGCCAGAGGCCTCCCTGGACACCTCCATTTTCCCTCTCTACTGGAATGCTGCCTGCTGTCCTGGAATTAGAAGTGCACTTTAGGGAGAGAGGGCAAGATGGCTCAGAGGGTAAAGGATCTTGCTGCCAATCCCTGTGACCTGAGTTCAATCCCCTATCCACTCCTATGACCGCCACACACGCTGCGTCACACATGCCCCTGCCATACAAAGTAAATAAAGAAACGTTAAAAAAAAAATTTTAGGACAATGGTGGTGCACGCCTTTGATCCCAGCACTCGGGAGGCAGAGGCAGAGGCAGGCCGATCTCTGTGAGTTCCAGGCCAGATGGGCTCCAAAGCTACACTGAGAAATCCTGTCTTGAAAAACAAAAACATTTTTTTTTTTTAAATGTGTTAGGGTTAGCAAGGGAGGTGGAGGGGTAGAGAGTGAGGTAGAAGGATGGAGAGTTCTGGGCCAGCCTGGACACAGCTCCAGGTCCTGAGGTCTCAGTGTAAGAGCAATGCCTGACCTCTGACCTGCCGGGGACTCACTGTTTCAAGAGGGAAAGCCAGGCTGCCAGTTTTCTCTGGCACCCAGTAGTCATCAGGTCCCATCCATCTGTCCACCTGGGTCCAGACCCTCAAGAGGCTAGGGGCAGTGAGGCCTTCATACATGGGGCTATGACCATCCTGTGCTTCAGTTTTCCCTCTATAGTCCCTTCCTTGTAAAACGAATGAGGATCCCACTAACTTTTTTTGCAGCAGGGTCTCGGGAACCCGCTACATGGCTCAGGCATGAACTTCTGATCCTTCTACCTCCAACTCCCAAGTACTGAATGAGAGCTGGGCACTGCCAGGCCCGGGCAGGAACTCAGGGCCTTCTGCACCATAGACAAGAGCTCTACCCTGTTGATTTATTTTTGAGGGTTTTGCTCTATATAGGGTTTTGCTCTATAATCCAGGCTGGCCTTGAACTCCTCGACGCCCCTGCCTCAACCTCTCTTGTGCTGGGGTGACAAGCATGTGCCACCACAGTGGGCTTCCTTCTGGGGTCAGGCCCAGTGAGCAGGAGATGATGGGTGAGGACATGGAAGAACAAGGCCTTGTGCACGGGTAACTTGGACAGACAGCTGCCGTCTACAGAACTAATAGGCACCTTCCGATTACCCTTCTACCTAGCAATTTTACTCCAGGCACACACACGCCCAAGAGGAACAAGAATAAACCCATGGGAAAGATGCAGAGTCAAAAGGTGGAAACAACCATGCATCCAGCATGGATGGAAGGGACAAGCAGAGTAGTCTACCCACATGCCAGAGTACTACACAGCCATGAACAGGAGCGGGTACTCTTGACATACCACGGAGGAGAACCTTGAGGATACTGTGCTCAATGAGAGACTCTGACCCGATGGGCCCTCACGGTGTGGGTCTCTGCCACACAAGTGTCGAGAACAGGGGAAGTGAATGTTGGGAGCTGGGTAGGAAACAAGTGACTGGCTGTTGGGGATGGAGCTGGAAGGACTGAAACATTCTCAACCTGACAGGAATTTTCTTTATGAGCTTGAATCTGTGAATGAGCTAAAAGCCAGGCATAGTGGTGTGTGTCTGTTACCCCAGGACCTAGGAGGCTGAGGCAGGAGAGAAGCCCCGGGCTACAAAAGCAAGACTCAGCCTCAAAAAAACCCAAAAACCCTGGGTGTGGTGGTGCATGTCTATGATCCCAGCACTTGGGAGGTGGGGCAGATAGTTCTTTGTGAGTTTGAGGCCAGCCTGGTCTACCTCGTGAGTTCTAGGACCGCCAGAGCTACACAGAGAAACCCTGTTTCAGAGAGACAACAAACACCCTCACGGAAGATTGCCAGTAAGGCCACTCTGAACCTGGGCGTGGCCACAGGAGGACAGGAAGGCTGCAGGATGTGCGCCCAAATGCCAGGAGGCCCAGATCCTAATCCCAGCCACTGCCCAAGCCCTGGAGTCCCCTCCTCAGACCCACAGCCCAGGGTGGATCCCAGCTGTCTAGGCTCAGCTGGTGGAAGCCAGACATAGCCAAGACTGGGAAGGAAGACACAGAGACAGTGCCAAGTGGCCAGCCAGCCAGCACCGCCACGTGCCAGGAAGGGAGTGGGGCAGACGCCAGAGTCAACACAGGCTGGACCTGGGGCTGACATCTGTGGGACTGGCTGGACTACAGTTGCCACAGGCTGCACAGGTGCCAGGCCAGCAGGGTGCAATGTGATAGAAAAGGAGTCCCAGACATAGGCTTCTGCTGACATCATCCCCAAACCTAACCATCACGCGGTCTTGCTTCCCAGAAGACCACTTCGGTCCAGACACACAGTAGGTTCCCAGGACCTTTGCCTGGCTGTTTCCCCAGCAGTGATCCTTTCTCACCTTCTCCAACCCTAGGGGTAACAGATGCTCACCAGCCTGCCTGGCTTTCTATGTGGCCCATGGGGTCTGAATGCAGTGAGTCATCTCACCAGCTTTGTGTACATTTCTCTATATGTCTGATGACCTTGGTGTTTTTCTCTATCGCCCATGAGACCAAATATGAGCTGGGGCTCCTTGCTTCCTCTGTCCTCAGTTTCCCCATCTCCAGCTGCACAAAACCCCCTGCACAGGCTGTGTCTCTGCATGACCTCTGACCCTGACTCAGGATATCCCCCAGAAAGGTCCCGATAATGGCTCTTGAGGCCTTCCTTTGTCTAGTTGCACTGGTGGCTGGGGTTGGAGCAGCCAACCCTAGCCCTGCTGTCCTTTTCATGTCTGGACACTGTAGAGCTGTGGGGTCTGGTAACATGAACAGGGGGACACCTACAGATCTGTGACCAGAGCTGTGACACAGTGGGACAGAGATGCCTAACTTGCTTGGCACTGGGGTTTGTAGGGAGCTGAACTCTGGACACTGAGCAAACATCAAGAAAATGAATAAACTAAGCTCACCCGCAAAGAGGCAGTTAGTGGATGCACACACCTTGAGAACTTACAACTAAAGCCCCTCTCTGTGCGATAGACCTGTCAGTCAGCTCCTTTGTAAAACGCACACAGAACAGCCCAGGCCGCTCCTGTACTAGACCAGGGAAACCAAGGCACAGAGTGAGGTACAGCCCACACACACCCAGCCAAACACTTTTACATGTGATATGTTTATCGGGAACCTCCTGGGGGATGGGAGGCCCAGTCTTGAAGCCCACAGCCGCCTCCAGGCCTAGGGTGGGAAGGGTCACACCCAGGAGCAGTGATGTCCATCTGACAGGTCAACTGGCAGGCTGCCCAACACACACCTAAGCAAGCCTGGGCGAGGCTACCCCACCCAGCCTGGGCCCTGTCTCTGTAGGTACTGAGAGGGCACAGAGGGTTAATCTCCTCTCAAGTTCCTCGAAACTGTTCTTTGTGCCCCAGGGCCTTTGCATGGCTGTGCCACCAGAACAGGGTATTCACGTGTCTTGCCCCACAAGTTCAGGATCCTAACCTAGCATGAGCCCTCTTGGTGCCTCAGCTCTATGGCTTCCCAGGCGTGTGCTTCTGCATCAGACAGTCCTCCTAAGGGGGACCCCAGGCCTGTTCCTCGGGCCCCCCCAACAGCAGAGCTCAGGTCATCTCCTGAAGCCATCCCGATCAGCACTGTCACATAGGAAACATCTGGAGTCCTCAGCCAACCTCTGGGGCCACCTCGTAGGCCACACAAGACTTGGCCCTGGAGCCAGCCCGGGAGCCGGTTTCCACCCTGGCCACACACCCAGGGGTCGGCTGGGCCAGCTGGCCAGGCTGGAATGCAGGCTCCAGCCCGGCATCTGGTTTCCATTGGCCTGCTGACTTCAAAGGCTGGCCACTTCCTCCAGCTTGGCTGCCTGCAGGGAAGGACTAAGGCAGTCTAAGCTTCCTCCATGCCACTCCCAGGCCTAGGAAGTCTATGTGGGGGTCCCATGGACACCCCCCACCTAGCCAACCAACACACCAGCACCTCTGGAATCACCTTCTATGAGCCTCAGTGCTCCAGCTCCTGCTGGCTCCTGTACATTCACAATTCTGCAGCCACCAAGTATCCCTAGGCACCACCCTGGACCAGCACTGCCCTAGCTCTCTGGGCACTGTAGCCCAGGCCACATGCTCTGCGAACCCCACTGCTCTCCAGTGCTGGACTCCACACCCTTGTCTCGGTCACCAAGCCACCTTTTTTTTTTTTTTTCGTGTGCTGCTTGAGTGTACAGCAGAGATGGATGCTGGGAGCTCTCCTCTGTGCTGTGTTATTTTTTGAGGCAGGGTCTCTCACTGAACCTGAAGCTCACTGACTCAGTGAGGCTGCCTGGCCAGTGAAGCCCCAAGGATCTTCTGTCTCCATCTCCCAGCACTAGAACCACAATTACACGCTGCTATGCCCAGCGTTTTACATGAGTGCTAAACTCAGTCTCATGCATGCACAGCTCTATCCACCACGCCATCCCCCAACACCAACGAGCCACCTGTCTGTCCAGGAGGACTGGGCAGAGCCCACACAGTCATCCAAGTTCCTGGTGCCCGTGGTTCCCCTGGTGTCCTGCCCTGGCCCGCACGCGCGTACCTCAGCCATACCCAGGATCAAAGCTGGGCCTCCCTAGGATCCTGTGGTGCCTGATCCTGCAACATGACTGGGGTGGGGGTGGGGGTGGGGCGACCAAAGCCTCAGCCCAAAGAGCCAGACCCAAGCGCATGGCCTACCTGTTTGAACTGTTCTTCAAATGTCCAGTCTCCGTGGTCCGGTGGTGGCATCTGGGATGCTGTGTGAGTGGGGTGGGCTGGGCCAGGTCCCAGGCGCTCAGGGCCACCCAGCATCCTGGGACCACCATCTCCACGGAAAGCCTGAGAGGGTTGGGCCTTGCGGGTGAACAGGCCTGCAGAGCCCAGGCTGGCAGACCCTGGGGGTCCCAGACCCTCCTCCTCCTCTTCCTCGAAGTCATCCTCTTCTTCCTCCTCCTCCTCCTCCTCCTCCTCCTCCTCCCCCAGTTCTTCCAGTTCCTGTTCTTCCCACTTGGGCTTCCTGCAATGGATTCATAGCATCCTCAGTCAGGGAAGACAGGCAGGCACCACTGTGTCTCAGTGGCAAGGCCAGGCCCACCCACTACCCCTGCCTCAGTTTCCCTCTCTGCAAACAAGAACAGCCACAGGCCTCTCAGGGCCCCGGGTAGGTCCCTGCCCACACCCCACTTGACCACTGCACAAGCTCTTACTAAGGGCCCCAACACATCCCCTCAAAGGCTCTTGCCCCAGGACCTTTGCACATGTGACTCCTAGCGCTAGACTTGGTGTAAACAGTGCTCTGCTATTCTTCAGGTACCTTCTGTCAAAACTCACCCCCCACCCCCACACCCCAGCCTAATTTTCTCGGCAGCATTTGGCACAACCCCAGAGCACAATGAGTCTCAAGATCCCCATGTGGGGAACCCTCAAGGACTACAGGTTCACTCAGCAAACACTTGCTCGGTTGTGCAGCATCCCCTCAGTAACCCTCAGGCTCACACTTTTCAAATGCATGGAAACACATCAGATGCTACCCCAACCCCAACTCACAAGTCATCATCGAAGCCCATGTCCAACAGATGTCCATCTTCTTCAGTGTGTCCTGATCCCTCCCGGCCTCTTCCATGCAGGGCAGGTGAACTCAGAGTTCCTTCCTGGGCTGTGTCTTCGTCTTCTGAGCCAGGAGGCCCGTCCTCAGAGCCACCGGGAGAGGACGGATGTCCCAAGCCAGCAGCAGCGGCTCGCATGGCAGCCAGCGCAGCCATCTGCGTCCTATGCATCCGGGCATTCTCAGGCTCCCTGTCCTCATCCGCCACAGTGGTCCGAGCCCGGACACCAGTGGGCTCCAGTGGTGGTGGTGGTGGTGGTGGTGGTGGCTGCCGGGCCTCCAGTTCCTGCCGGGCACGCTGTTGTCTCTGAATAAGGGTTTCCATCACAGCCTGCAGCTTCATGGCCCTGCGGGGTGGGCCACCCCGGGCACCAGGGGTGGGCGGTGGGGGTGGCCCCTTCGGGGAAGGGTCTTGGCTGCACTGCAGCGTGGGGGTCTCGGGGGAGCCCGGACAGTGCAGGGTGGCGGCAGGCGGGGGCAGGGGCCACGGACTCAGGCTGAGGGCTGGTGGGGCATGCCAGGGGTGACCAATGGGCTCCTGTTGTCACGTCGGGCACCCGGGGGCAGAGGCTTGTATCAGGCTCATTCAAGTGCTTACAGACTCCTAGGGGAACACAGCAGATATGAGGTCAGACCACACCTGCGCCCCAAAGACACATCCTTCCTCAGAAGTAGACAGCAAAGGCTGATGGGAGAATCCCTCATACCTCCTCAGGGTACGCCCTTCCTATCCACCTGCCTGCAGGTTCTTGGGGACCAGGGTCACTGCAGTGTTCACCTAGGGAATCTCTGGGTCCCCTCCAGTTAGGCCCACCAGGGACACTGTGGGTTATTGTCCCATAAGCAGAGTTGTGGGGGAGGGGCCTGATGTCCTTACTTTCTTATTGGCTGTACCCCTGTTCTAGACTCCGGAGTGCCTCTGGGTTCTGGGTTCTGGCTCTACCTTCTACATGTTGCTTGGCCAGAGATGCCCTGGAAACTCTGGCCAAGATTGGGTACTTGCTGTATATAAGCCGGTCATGTACCATCACCACATCTCAATTTCTCAGAGATACTTCAGCCAGCCTCTGGGCCTTGATCTATCCAGCTATGTGGCATCAGCGCCCACTATGTCACACTTGGGAAAATCAGCACAGGGCAGGCACAATGCAGGTGATGGGGGGTGTGCGTGTGATGGGGAGGACAGCCTGTGTGCTGCAGAGGGGGGAATGGAAGTTTAGGAGCTCACCCAGGCTGAGGTTTGGGGGTACCAGAGTGTCCTGTGCTGCTCTCTGCAGAAGACACGGGTCTGGGGTCACTAGTTTATAGGGTTCCAAGGGCGTAAATGTCCCAGAACATAGCACTCTGTCCTGGCCAGGGAGCCCTTCTGGACCTTCCAGAAGCCAGCACCAGGATCCAGTGGGCAGAACCAGGGATCATAGGGCAAAGATAAAGTTTAGTCCACCTTCCAAACAGAGGGTCTCAGGTCACCCTCAGTCTAACCTGAACCCCAAAGTCCGTAAATGACCCCTGTGACTGGCCCCTTGGGGTGTGAGGAAGTGGGACAGCTGAGGGGTCCAGGCTCCTATTCACACTCTAGTGACATTCTGGTCACCTTACCCTCCACCCGGGAGACCCCTGCAGTGCAGACCCTGTAGGTCTCCATGGAGAACAGGAGAGTCTGCAGTCCCTTTCCCTAGACATCTGGTCCCTCAAACTGTGAGAGAGACTTGCAGTACAACTGTGGCAGGTGGGCGGCCCCAAGGACTCCTGTCAGTCTAGGATTCCCAAGACAGGAAGATTTTAGAGGCCCAGGCACTGAAGAGGCCAGTGCACGAAGAGAGGAGTGCACACACACACACACACACACACACACACACACACACACACACACACACACACACAGAGTCCCTCTACACCCTGCTGCTGCTGGTCACCCCGTCCACCAGATTCAAGAAGTGCTGAAGGGGACATTTCTGGACACTGTCTGGCTTGGTCCATCACCCTTCCCCCACCTCTGACAACTTGGAGCTGAGCACACCCCACTACGGAAATGCTGAAAGTGACGCCCCTCTTTTGGGTGGGGTGGGGAACACACAAGGAAAAGGCTAGAGGAAGCCCCTCTCCCAGACTCCTGCCTCCCCTCCCAGGCTGGCTTGGTTTAATGACCCTTCCTGGTCGATGGGTGGGGGAGGGGAACAGGGCAGGCTTGCACTGCTGGGGCTGGTAGTGGGTGGAGGGGGGGAGGTGGGAACCCCAGAGCTGCCCCTAGGCCGGCCTGGCCTTCCCTCCCACCCTCCAGGGGGACCATTACCCCTAAGCTGACGCTGCCCAGCCTTGGAGAGCCCTCCCGTCCAGCTCTTTGTCTTTGGCCCCCACCCTCAATTTATGACATTCTCAGAGAGGGCTGACCAGGACTTGGTAGCTGGTGTTTGTGGGGGGGATATGGGGGGGGGATATGGCTGGGGTGGGGGCTGGGAGGAGACCCAGAGCCACACCCTCATCCCCCACCACCTCCAGGCTTCAGAAGAGAGAGGGAAAGAGGGAGGGAGGGAGGGGGAGAGAGGAGAGAGAAGAGAGAGAGAGAGAGAGAGAGAGAGGGAGGAGAGAGAGGTCACCAGCTCGGCCAGGCCTTGCAAAACACGGTTATTTGGAGTTGTGCAAGGCCAGGGCCCGAGGGTGGCGAAAGGGGCCCCTCTCTCCTCCCAGGGAGGTAGAGGGGGGAAGGGCAGGAGCTGGGGAGGGGGCTGGGAAAGAGGACACCGTGTCCCCCTCCTCACCAGGAGATGTGTGCAAAAACATTCCTGTAAGTCCTGGTAGTCAGAGGACAAACGTAAAAAACAACAACAAACCAAACAAACAAAAACCCTTAACATAGTCGGGATTTCAAAGGCTTCTAGGAAAGACAGAGCTCCGGGGGGTGGGGGGGGAACCCCTGCTGCTCAAGTCGTAAAAAACGGAAGGTATTTGACAAACCCGCTGCGAGTTGACACACACGCGCGCACTCCGCGCTTCCTGCTCCCTCTTTTGTGTCGGGGGGGGAAGGGGCCCCGTGGGACCCTAAGAGAGGGATCTGGGTGGGTGCACCCCGCGGGGGAGAGGGGACCCCAGTGGTGCTCTGAAGCTAGGGTCCGAATGGGGAGGGACGGCAGACCCCGTTAGACACAGATTTGGAGGAGAAATAGAACTGAAGGCACTGGGGCGTGGCGGCGCCCGGTCTGGGATTTTCCCAAGCACTTGGGAAGGAAAGCTGAGGCAGGGGGATGGCCTCGACTTCCAGGCCAATCTGCGCTTGAAATGGAGTTCTAGGTCAGCCTATACTAAGTGTGAGATCCTAACCCCAAACATTAAAAAGACATTTTTTAAGAAGGAAAAAGCAAAATGAAGTCTCCAGAGCGCAGCCCCCAGTCCCCTGGCGCGCGCGCGCACACGCGTGTACACACTCACACACGCGTGTACACACTCAAGCACGCACACGCGTGTACACACACGCACACACACGCCCTGGATCCGTTTCCTTCCGCCAGGGGCCAGCGCGCACTCGCGACCCCCGCGCGCACGAACGCTCGCGTACCGGATGA